TGTATACAAAACAAGTTTAGCTCTCTTACTGCACAATGTATGTTTCAGGATTACTGATTCTCAACTTTTAGATGGTTCACAAAAACATAAAACCCTTCCAATGGATAGTGACTATCAGATTTATCCCACTGGTGCCATAGGATCAACAGTTTTTCAGATGTGGAACCACAAAGGTTTCCCGTTGGGAACATCTACATCCCATGGCCTCTCACCGGGACACCCACAAAGGCGCCTGAACAACAACGAGCGGTCTCGCGGTCTCCCAGAAATGGATCATCGAGATCCAAAAACACTGGCTGTTAGTTGTTGTTACTGTTTAGATCTGTTTAGTTGTTGTTACTATTTCCATCTATGTCTTTATTTTGAACATATTCAAGTTAAACTTCGTTCTTCAAGGCATAATGATTTTGCTTGTCGTCATCCCCGGGGCGGAACGTGATCTTGGGGTGCCTTCCTCTCAATGGAGATTCATTAGATTTCTGAAGATCCCAGCAACCCCCAGCAACCCATCCATTCCCTACGTTTAGCACCAAGATTTTCACGTAGGGTTTAATCATCAAAGATTGGAATTCAACCAGAGATGATGGGGATAGACATGGATAGATCCAACATGATCCAACAAACCATGCCTAGACGTGAAACCGAATATGGGCACGCACGGACTTGGGGGTGTATCCCAGGAATCGAAATGAGAGCTATGGAAAATACCTTCTGAAATGTTCATAAAACCCCATCAGTTGATAGCCCCCTTGTTCGGGTTTGTCCCCAAAAAAACGTGGCGACCATCCTTTTGTTATCCATGGTTAAGTCGTCCTAACCAGCGACCTGCGGAATCCTCCCAAGTATACAGTTGTTATATAAGTTATATTCCTCTAGTTTAAACAGTGTGTATTATTATCCCATCCCATATGCTCCATGTATAGTATATTTACCTACATCTGGGTGATTTTTGGGGCAAATGTTGGTAAATATTCTATACATGGAGCATATGGGCATGATCAATCACTATAACTGTTAGATTGAAGAGGGTTTCTACGTTGTTAGCGTCAAAGACTATATGGTACCATAGCATATAGTAACTATAGTTATTTAGCTGCCATAAAGCATCACCAATCCCTTCCACGCCTGGAGCGAAGTCTCTCCAGAAAAGCAACGCTGCAGCCTTAGAGCTGGATCCTTCAAAAGGGAGATGTGAAAACCATCCTTTTTTCTCCAACAACGCAGCCACCTCCAAGCTAAGAAACTGGGCGAAGACGGCGTAGGCGAATGCCATTTAATTTGAATGCAAGCATCACTCAATCAAAAGAACTCATGTAAAGGTGGCACAAAATTGAGCGGATTATTTTTTGCAGCAAATCTGGAGGCACACCCCATCAAGAAAGCGAAGATATGGTCCGGAAAATGGAATGAACGAGAAATGTGCAGGGAAGCTACGTGGCAAAATCCAAAACTCAACAAATGTGTAGATCTCAGGGCATTAATGGACAGCTGGTGGGATTGGAACAGTCGCATGGCAGCTCGCTTGAACCTTTGGACAAGCACTTTCAAAGTCATGGATTGATTTATGAAACCCGGAAAGTATCCAAACTGGAAAACAAAATCTGCCATGATTTCAACCCACGACGTTCTATGGATGGATCTATGCGATCCAACGACCCATGCCGATTGGGAGAAAAATTCACAAATAGCGCCAGCTGCGCTGGGGCTAAGCCGCATGGGTCCGGCAGCCAAAAATGCAGGATCTGGACTTGTGACTAATGGCTGCCACATTTCTTGGGGATAAGCGATGGCGATATACCTGTTATGGTGAGAAGATACTCTAGTTCTGATAAAAGGACTAATTGGTTCGCCTCGTTTAACACAAGAGATGAACATGTTTTCGGCATCACCGGCACGGATTACCAGTGGGCGACACGTCCCAGAACAAACAGAGCCCTTAGAAAAAATCCGAGTTTTGGGGGCGCAGGAGCATACAAATGATGAAGTCAACACCTTGTAATGGGGAAAAAAATCTTGCCCCGCTGGTATCTCCGCTGGTAACATTTTGAAGAGCGAACTACGTGTGGTCAACGTATGGACCAAATGGGCCTGCAATGACATGGCCAATGCAA